AAAGTCGCTTTCGCTGTATGTCCGTATGTATGCTTAGATCTTTAAAACTACGCAACGGATTTTGATGCGGTTTTTTTTAATAGATAGAGTGATTTTTAAGGAAGGTTTGTATGTATAATACATGCATATTGCACCCGTGCGAAGCCGGGGCGGGTCACTAGTAATGCATAAAACACACACTGCGTATATATGTATTCTAATGATGCAAGCATATGAATGCACTTAAAGCCTATTGAATCGTAATACCAGATATCAACTTACAAGTTGATTAAAGTAGTTGACCGTTACGCATGACTAGTTATGAGAATATGACGCAAAGCAAAGGGACTACCACAGCATTTTATGTTCAGGAATCAGTAGCAGCACATTATAGTCAGAATCTTACATCACCACATAGTATAAAACAAAGTCGCTATCCGCCGTCTGTCTGTCCCTATGTATGCTTAGATCTTCAAAACTACGCTACGGATTTTGATGCGGTTTTTTTTAATAGATTGAGTGATTCTTAAGAAAGGTTTATATGTATAAAACATGTGCGAAGCCGGGGCGGGTCGCTAGTTATATAACGTATGATCCAAAAATTACGTAAGTTTTTTAACTCAACAATTACTCGAAATGTTTTATAGTGTTTTTTTTTTTCTTGTTAAGTACCATGCACGTAATATAGGGTCAAAATTCTATGACCATGAACGACTCATTGTAGTCATCATACTTCTGCAGTAATTTTCGCATTGTTCGTCTCAGTTTGACTTATCGCCAAAATTGTAAAGCGGTTGCGGTAGTATTGTTATTAGTTAAATCTTACAATGAATTTCACTAAGCACTTTCTACAGATCTTTATTACAAATCTATTTGACTCTAAAATTTTATTGATTGTGATCGGACTTTCAGATTTGAAGTTATTCGAACGGCACTGTTTGATCGCCTCAGAAGTTGGATATTAGTTCAGCCTACTTGAATTTCTTTAGATGACTGTGAAGATAACGTATAGAATTGCAGAGGTCAAAACGGTTATCGTTGAAAAACCGTTATCGAGTTATCGATATCATGCTTGCGCTACTACCAAGTCACAGATCTAGTGACTACTAGTTCTTTTTTTTGAGAGACGTCTAAATTGCAACTTCGGAATTTTGTTCAATTATTGCAGTTGGTATTGTTCAAGGCATTCTCATTTCCGGGCTCAATAAACTAGCAACTCAATTAGTACTTGAACATGCAGCTTTTGGACCGTAAATACAATTTTTTATGTGAATCGTACCATAAGTGGTAACACGCGAGCTACGAGTTGATAATAACTTGCATAATGGGACGCTCACACCTGCAACTTGCACGTCAGATTTGAAGCAGACATACTTCTTAGTATATAACTGTATATACAATTATAGTCTTTGTTTATATTACATTACGTGCTAATAATTTATCAAATAGTTCAATTAATGAATCGGACAAAAAATTCTATTTATTTCAAACTACTTTAATATAGTCTATACATATAATAAAATTGTAGAAAAGTGCTGTCTGTACATTGAAAATAAAAATAAAAAAAATAGCAGGGGCTATTGTTATGTCGATGTCGAACCCAAAAATGTAACTAACTTTTTTTTGTCTGTTTGTCTGTTCACGCTAATCTCAGAAACGGCTTATCCGAGTTGGATGCGGTTTTCACGAATATATTGTGGTATGCTTCAGTTATGCTTTAGTGTTTGTTTCATGTCAATCGGTTCATAAATAAAAAAGTTACGTCAAATTAAAGAATCACGTCGAACACTATCTATCTATCTATACATATAATAAAATTGTAGAAAAGTGCTGTCTGTACATTGAAAATAAAAATAAAAAAAATAGCAGGGGCTATTGTTATGTCGATGTCGAACCCAAAAATGTAACTAACTTTTTTTTTGTCTGTTTGTCTGTTTGTCTGTTCACGCTAATCTCAGAAACGGCTTATCCGAGTTGGATGCGGTTTTCACGAATATATTGTGGTATGCTTCAGTTATGCTTTAGTGTTTGTTTCATGTCAATCGGTTCATAAATAAAAAAGTTACGTCAAATTAAAGAATCACGTCGAACACTATCTATCTATCTATATATATATATAATAAAATTGTAGAAAAGTGCTGTCTGTACATTGAAAATAAAAATAAAAAAAATAGCAGGGGCTATTGTTATGTCGATGTCGAACCCAAAAATGTAACTAACTTTTTTTTTGTCTGTTTGTCTGTTTGTCTGTTCACGCTAATCTCAGAAACGGCTTATCCGAGTTGGATGCGGTTTTCACGAATATATTGTGGTATGCTTCAGTTATGCTTTAGTGTTTGTTTCATGTCAATCGGTTCATAAATAAAAAAGTTACGTCAAATTAAAGAATCACGTCGAACACTATCTATCTATCTATATATATATATAATAAAATTGTAGAAAAGTGCTGTCTGTACATTGAAAATAAAAATAAAAAAAATAGCAGGGGCTATTGTTATGTCGATGTCGAACCCAAAAATGTAACTAACTTTTTTTTTGTCTGTTTGTCTGTTTGTCTGTTCACGCTAATCTCAGAAACGGCTTATCCGAGTTGGATGCGGTTTTCACGAATATATTGTGGTATGCTTCAGTTATGCTTTAGTGTTTGTTTCATGTCAATCGGTTCATAAATAAAAAAGTTACGTCAAATTAAAGAATCACGTCGAACACTATCTATCTATCTATATATATATATAATAAAATTGTAGAAAAGTGCTGTCTGTACATTGAAAATAAAAATAAAAAAAATAGCAGGGGCTATTGTTATGTCGATGTCGAACCCAAAAATGTAACTAACTTTTTTTTTGTCTGTTTGTCTGTTTGTCTGTTCACGCTAATCTCAGAAATGGCTTATAAATATATATATATTTAACAGGGTGCGGAAAAGGTGATAGTGGTTTTATTCCTCAGATTCCTCTCATTCCAAAAAATTTTCCGTTTAATTTTAAACGAATTCAGTTTCCAGTGAGCCTATGTTTCGCCATGACAATTAATAAAGCTCAAGGTCAGACTCTAAAAGTTGTGGGTATAGATCTA